TAAATCTTGACTTGAAACTAAGCATATCATCATCACCTAGGGTTACATCTCACAGAGCACAACCTTTAATGGAAAGAATATCATCACCTACAAGCTCCTGTGTGTCTCGAGAACCGAGCCCCGACGACAAAGAGTTCTCAGAGAAGACTATGATGCTTCTGGGTTGTCCTGCATGCTTAATGTATGTCATCATACCAGAAGAGAATCCAAAATGTCCCAAATGCAAGAGCACTGTCTTGCTTGACTTTTTCAAGGAGGAAAGGATGAAGAATTCAAAGACTTGATGTGTGGTGATCTATATGTTGTTCGAATTCTTTAAAAATTATGTTTTGTGTGTGTTGGATCTTTCATAAATAATGCATTTAGAGAATTCAATACGAATGTTGTGACAACAGTTTTTGGAGAGTCCGACAAGTGAGTAATGGGAATGAGGTGTATGGGATGCTATTTTTTGCTAATGTAGGGTTTTTTTATGTTTGGGACAGTTGTTGAGGTACTAATGGTCATGTTTTCCTTTATAATGGTTTGGTCCTAATAATTTATAAGTTGCTCTCTTTACTAAATGCATTCATATTTAGTTGTCAACTTACAATTTTCTATATATATAGTATAAATTATATAGTATAATTTTCTGTATACAAAGTATAGAATCTTTCAATGAACGATGTTCAAGAGATCACTCTTCAGTCTATATAGCTTCACCACTGCTTTAGGGTGTGGTTGGGTATAAAGATTAACCGTGGCACCCAAAGTAACAATAAGTTCAAAGTGTCCGCGGTTAAAACTCAGGTTTTACTCCCTTGCATCGCAAGTTTGAATCTGTGAATATTGACACCAATTCCCAAAAAAATGACCTGCTAAAGTTATAATGTGATAGTCAGAACTTTCAAATCTTAAATACGTTTTTATATGTAATGTTTATCTATATCCCATTATATTATTATATAGTTTACTTATTAAATATCACGTATTTTTTCGAGAGAAATATTTTATTCATATCAAACACACCAATGCTTATGATTATTTTTTGGAAGAAGCTTCACATGTAGCAATTGGCAGGACTCACTTCGTTCATACTCTTCAAACAATAAATTAGCTAAACAACACATCATTTGTTCAGATATTTTTTATTATTCATTATGAAATGTTATTTTAAAGAGCATATAATATAACATAACATACAAAATTTATTTAAAAAAAAACACTTAATCATTATAGTAAAATATTGTTATGGAGTTTAATTATTATAGAAACTATACAGAACACCTCTACGGGATAGTTAGAAAGTTCTTGTGCAATTTTTCGTGTCTCGATTTTCTATAGCGAGTATATAAGATTTTACTATACAGAATACCTCTCGATTATTGATAAATGAGACTTCTAGTTAACAATAGAGGAATTTGAATCAAATGATGACCGATCGATCACCATCTATCATATAATTAAACTGTATTTATAAGAAAATAATATCACCGATACGTTTTCATTTATTCATAGTCAAATTCAAAATTTGAAAGTTTTGGGAATTTTAAGAAGTTCAACTTAACCTACAAGTTGTCAAAAGGCTGGCAAATGAATAATAAGTTATAATATGCTCACGTCTTTATCAATATGTAGATAATTAATAACAACAGTGGTTGGTGAGCTAACTATATATTTACCACACCTTTTGTAGTCACTATTTGATAAATTTGAGGACTTATCATTCAATGATATGTACTATTATCGTTACTGTTTACATTGAAGACCAAAAAAAATCAACATTCATCTAATCTTCAATAGGGCATATATGTAGGGATGACAATGGGACAGTGTAGGTGCAAATAGTGGTAGAGTCAAGAATTCGGTGTAGGTTTGCAAAAAAAAATTCTCAGTTATGTTGAGGGAGTGCAAAATTAGATATATAACTCATAATAACTAATCATTTTAATCTCTATATACATATCACATAATTTTTTGGTGTACGATATGCATCTGACCATCCTTCGCCTGAGGTGACTCAACCTAAAACAACGATATTATTTTGATTTTGACTAATGAAGCTTAGTTGCGATAGTACAAATGATTGAAAGGATAACTTGGATAAGTTTGTATTAATAGTGTCATTATATGTCTAATAAAAAAAAGTTTCTGCTTTATTTGTCACTAATTTATCCGAGTTAAACTAAGGTGGAACTTCCCACCTAGCTCATAAACATGAATTACTTGACTTATTAAATATAAAAGTTGACAGATCGTTAAAATGTGGCTACAATAATATGTCAAATTCAGTCAGGAAAAGGCATAATATGTAATGACAACAAGGTCAGTGCAATGATGATAATGTCCAGTGTGTCCATGGCTCAGAATATTAATCATGCTGTCTCATTTTATACGAGTAAATTTAACTTGACAACAGGATGTAAGAAAGAAATAAAAACTTTTGAAATTTGTGATTTAAAATAAGTGATAGATATTTGTGTGACGATAAATCATTTCATTAACCTCTGAAAATAAATGTAGATTGTAAGGAAATCTTAAACTTTATTGCTAACAATCATCCTAAATATTCGAATATAATATTTGATTGCAGAACTTTACTTCACCAGCTGGGGAAGTTCTACTCCTGTTTGTTCTGAAGAAATTCGAAGCAAATAAGGCAGAAATTTATTTTGTCAGGCTAAAACAGTCAGTATCTACGTTGTATAATTGTAATAATACTAGTAACGCTCATCCCCTGAACTGTAACAACATGCAAGCAGATCTGCCTCTATCTTGTAATGATGCATATTAGCTATTAATATATTATCTTATTTATAAAATTAAAAAAAAAATCATTTCATTAAGGATAACATGAGTATTTTGAAGTTAAACTGTTACTTAATATAAAAATATGTTATTCTTTTTTAGACGGATTAAAAAGGAAAGTAAAACATACAAATTGAGATAGAAAGAATAATAGAAAATCCAGTGCTTACTCTAGCATAAGAAGTGGGGAGCTTTAGGAAAATATATTATTGGTCTGATTTTCCTTTTTTGACCATTAATACCTTCAAATAATACTAGATATATGTTATATCGAATTTAGTTAGATGACTGTGGTCTATGAGTTCACATGACCTTTTTTTTTATACAATTATAAGTGGAACCTAATAAGGGATCATCTAGTCATACAATCCATAACACACAAACTAGTGTACCATTGCAATGGATACAAATTAAAATTAGAACTAGCACAATTTAAAGAATTAAAAATATTTGTATAATTTGTTTCTGATCTCGATAAAACTACTCATCCATGTTATTCCAACAAAAAGATCTCCAGTTTAATTTGGTTACGTTGGCAACCTCCACCACAAAACACCTTCAAACTTAATTACTACTTATATGATAAAGTTGTTGATACTTCGCTTCTAAACCAAAAATAAATGTTTCATTTTATTTGTTCATTTTAGTCAATCAAGAGAGTTTTTTTTTTCTATACTATTCTTAGTATTAATTAATGACTATATAGAGTAGAATTTGTCAAATTTTAAAATATCATTAATAAAGTCAGTGTGATAAGATACATCTCTAATTAAATTTCTTTTAAGAGTTATGTCAGATCAACTTTGATAGAACATCATTCAATTAAATTTACATATAAACTAGTAGATCTTTGTAAAAATGCTAGACAGTCATGTTGACCTAGTGCCTACTTACTCCACTTTATTTGATGTAGTGGTTATTCAATTTTTGAACTAAAGGGCACATTGCAATAGATGTTTCCATAAGAAAATGTCCTTAAAACAAAAATTAAAAGACAATAACACCTTTATAAATGCTAGACAGACATGCTAATTAACCTAGTGTATATATGTTTACTCCTCTTTATTAGATAGTTATTAGTCCTGTACATCCATTAATTGAACTTCGTGAAAAATCTTTTTGCTCGGTCCATCTCTAGGATTTCTCTCAATAAAATATTTAACTATATTTAAAAGATCTCTTAGCATTGCATATATGAGAAACATAGAAAGAAAATATTATTCCATCTGTCCCAATTTATATTGACTCACTTTCATTTTTTGTAAGTTTAAAAAAGAATGACATGTTTTTATATTTAGTAACAATTTAACTGCTTTAAAATGTCAATTTTATCCTTAGTGAAATAATTTAAAGTCATACAAATTTCAATTACTTATTTTAGATCATAAGTTTCAAATGTTTTTCTTTCTTTCTTAATTGGTGTCAAGTTAAACTACATCACATAAATTGGAACAAATGTAGTATCTCCTAAACCTAAAAAATAAAGGAAGTAGAAAGTATGTTGCACATTTTTCATTTTTAAAAAAAAAAAATTGTTTTCCACCTGGTGTCTGGTGCTTGGCTACCTGCATTGGAACCCCAACTAAAAAGTTGGATCAGCATTGCAGGGACCATTTTGGAGATAATGCAACCAACAAGATTTTCTCCATAGCCATAGATCGAACTCGAAACTTCTAGTAGGAAATTCCACCATTACATCACAACCTAGGTTGGTCTCTTTACATAAATCTAACATCAATTATGACTCTACTTTCTTTCTTACCAACTTGGACTCATCAGTAACAACAAGGGTCTATAATATTATTTAGGCTGCTGCTAGGTCAATCTTTATGAAACTACAAAATATTTTATGTGAAAATTAATGCTACACTCCTGGAATAATTAACTATTAGACACTATATAAGAACTAATTACTAGAAGGACCAGGTCCTTTTAGCTTGTAGTTAACCAACCGAACTATCATATTTGTTAATCATCAAAATCACTATTCAACTTTATTAGTAAAAGAAAACGTTTCAGAATACAACAACATTGAAATTATATTTCATATTTGTACTTTTGGAACGACGATTACATTTTTCCCCATAAATGTATAGATTACAATACCATCATATTTCAAATAACAATAAATTAGTTAAGTCCAAGAGTATGCCAAACAACATTAAAACAAAAGAGTAAAAGAAAAAAAAAGAGTGTAACATCATGAGAAGATGTTATATAACGATAGGACCGCGTTCATATAAGTGTAGAGGCAATCTAGGAGTAGGAACAACTTGTAGAGGTGTTTGCATATAAGTAACAGTTCCAGGACTCTCCAACATGTCAATGTCATCGCGCTTAATTCCAATAGGTGGAGACCATTTAAAATGGTGTAACAAGTGAGCTAACATAGAAGTAACCATATTGATAGCTAGATTTGTACCAGGACAAATACGTCTACCAGCACCAAATGGTAAAAGTCGAAAATCATGTCCCTTCATGTCAATATCCTCTTCAATGAATCTTTCAGGTCTAAATTGTAAAGGATCCTTCCATACTTTAGGATCTCGTCCAAGTGCCCATACATTAACATGTACAATTGTACCCTTAGGAATGTTGTAACCACCAATTTTGACATTAGCACTAGCCAAGTGAGGGAGCATTAGTGGAGTTGGAGGGTGTAACCTTAATGATTCTTTAACTACACTTTGTAGATAGGAGAGTTTGGACATATCGGATTCGGTTATGACCCGGTCCGACCCAATAACCCGGTCCAATTCTTCTTGGGCTTTTTGTTGAACCCTTGTGTTTTTGACTAATTCTGCCATAGCCCATTCAACAGTTATAGCCACTGTATCCATTCCTGCTGTCACCATATCCTGTAATAATTTATTAAAATAATTTAAACTTAAAAAAATCAAAATTATTAAAGATTTAATATTTGTTTTGTTTATTTAATTTATGTTTAAATAGGATTTGTAGTTAAATTCATACAAGAATAGATTTTAAATCTTTTTATTTTTTTTGTAACATAGGAACACATTCAAAAGTATTGTAGTGGAGAATTATTGAGTTTATAATTATTATTTTTTTATTCAATAATTGATTCATTATTAAATAATAATTTAGTTAATACTTTTTCTTCTGGTGGAAGACATGTTAGTTAATGATCACGAATACTGAAAAAAGATTGGTGTTTTCCACTTGTAACACCTAACTCGTCTAATTCTTCAATTACTTTCATTAATTTACTATATATATTCTTCTTTAATTTCTTCTTTACTTTATTTGGTCCTCTTAACCTAAAATTGAAGAAAAATAATTGAGTTGGAAATTTGGAATTGTCCTTGTAGGGAAATTTAACTAACTAAATCGAAAAAGAATATTTTCTACGTTACAATTTATATGACACCATCTAGATTTCAAGAATTAAATGATTTTTTCTTTAATCATGATTCTTCATATGTAATATGTAAATTTGATGTCAAAAAACTACATTTCATGTCCGATCAAAGTTAAAAAAATATTATCTTTACTACGTAATGTGTCGTATATAAATTGTAATAGATAGTTGTACACAAATAGTAGTTGTATTGGGATGGAGGATAGTAATATAAGGGTTTCGTAATATACTTACCCAAAGGAGGCCGATAACAGTGTCATCACTTAGCTCATATTCCTTTTGTAGAGTGAGCAAAGCATCAACAAAGTGTTGTTTTGTTTCACCAGTTTTTTTCCTTGCAAGAGTGTGTTCTTCCATAATAACCCTAGTAAACCTATCCACATGACTATCTTGAGCCTTAAGAGCTTCATTATCATCCTTGAAAAAACAACTTAGCCATGGAACAAAGTCACCTAGGTTAAGTTTTCCTCCAATTTTCATCCCATTGGAGACTATCTCTTTGAGTTCTTTACCTTGTTCATCAACTTTACCTTGTGAGTCCATAAACCTTTTACCAAATGTTACTCTTGTTATGTTGTTGAATGCTACTAATCCCAAGTAGCTCCTCATTATCAAGCTTTTACCTACACATTTGCATATATCAATAATCAATTAGTCATAGTTTGTGGAGTATCAAATTAACAAGAGCCGATTAAAAGTGGAAACAGACTGTCTACTTGTAGTTAAGGTTATCAAAGAATAGGATATACAGTGTCACCCTCTTATGGACATAAAAATAAATAAAAGACATACATTATCACCCTCTAATGGGCTATTATTGAACATTGTAAATATTTGATGAAGGCCAATTATTTTGAGGAAGGAAAATCAATATAATATATAGATTTTCTAGCAAATGAAGACACTAACGAATAAAAAGATATGGTAGTCTAGAAAATGTGCTCAAGGAAATGTATCTCGACTTGAGCAATGTAGCTTAGGAAAGATTTTTAAAAAAATTATTTAATCTTTTCCAACATACCAAAAAATATGAAAACTAAGCTAAAAAAAATTGTAGTGTCAATTAATGTAGATTTATAATTGGAAAACAAGGTACATAAGTAAAATATTGTTAGTAGTGTATTTAATTGATTTGTGATGCAAGTAAAAACTAAGGCAATAATCGAGTATATGAAACTCTTTTCTTTTCAGAAAAAGAAGAAGAAAAAAAGCCAAATAAATCTCCACCCTTCCTTTGGGTTTTGGATTTTTTTTGTTCCATAAATTAATTATTAATTAGGATTATGTGTTCCATTATATATAATTTTTTTAGTTCCAATGTGATAGTGTCTATGTACTTTGAATGTTCTATATACATTTGTAAAGTTAAAGGTAACTCATTAGGGGTATGTTTGGTGGGGGTGGGGGATATTTTTTTAATTTTCTCTTATTTGACTAATTAAAATATATAGTTATTTAAAATCTCTAAAAAAATAAGTTCCTTAAAACGAGAAAAATGTTTCTCTAATGAAAGTAGAAAAAATAAGTTCTACAAAGGACACAATATTCTACATCGATTGTCTTCTCCCTACCCTTCAACGCACACCACCCCACATCCTTACACCCTACCCCAATTCTCATAAGAATTTGAATTATGTGAGTTCAATCTTTAAGCTCTTAGCATTGAACTCATTATATTTTTAAAGATATGAATTTTACTATTAATTGTGACAATTTTATCGAATTTTTTCACATAAATTATGCTACGTATTGAAAATGTTAGGTTCATATGAACTCAATATTGTAACATAGGATCTACCCCTATCAATCCTCATAATATTTATCTAAATTAAATTACAAATATTTTTACGATTATAATTTATACTTACACACCAAACGCAAAAATAAATAAAAAAAATACCTTTTATTTTTCGTTAAAGATCTTCCTTTCTACCAAACACACCCCTAGGTGTCACTTTATTTTACCAAACCTCCGTATAAAGATGAATTACAAACAAAAATAAAATATTTGTCACTAAAAAAGTATCTTTTCTTGCACTTTTTCATCGGTTTTGTTGATATTAGGTGCGGCCCAATATCCATATTAAATTTTATTATTTAAAAACACACATTAAATGTTGAGATTAATTACGTATTGAATTTCTGATAGTAGATTCATAATTTTAAAAATGTTTGTATTGTTTAAGAAGAAATGAATGAAACAAAAAATATAGTAGAGTTAGGATAGATATGGTATGAGTTCTACTCAATGCATGTTAGATATAGAGACGCATACTAAATCGATATAAACATCATGAGTTATTTTGTAATAAAATCAGTTATTGCTGATATATTCTTCTTCTCGGTTCCTTCTTCCATAACCAAAAATCATAAATATATTAGAATATGAAAATTTTAATATTTTTACCCTTCTTCTACTCCAATATAATATATAATAAGTAGTAATTATTTTTACCCTTCTTCTACTCCAACTTATAATTTTTTAATTAGAGTGGGGTAAGTCAACACTGACTCCTAACAAGTTACTGTTTTTTTCTTCTTTCTCTAACAGTTAGATATTTGATGGCTTCACTTAAATAATACAAAGTTTTTGTTTTTATCTACAATAAGATTCAAATTTATTATATGCATGTACTTGACCAAAACATCACACATTGTGTTGTCACTACTAGACTAAGGTCCTAGGGGTTTTCCTAACTTTATTTTGTTCTCATATGTGTGTAGATTGTGGGTTGGTTTACTTGTCATTTTCTTTTCTTTTTCTAACAAGTCTAGAACTTTTATGACTTTGTTTATTAAATGTAAAAATTTGCATGTCATTGTATACTTTTTTTGAAATTTGAATAACTCAATTATGTAGTCAATGTAAATTTGTACTTTTATGTGGAAGAGAGAGGGAGTTGGTCTTCTCTTTTTCTTCTATAGTAGTATTAGTTAGTATTGTTATTTTGTTATATTCTCCTTTTAATTTTGTCTTGATTATACTTCATTTGAGTTAAGATTCTATTAAAAATATTTTTTTTATTTTCTACAAAAATAGGAATAAGATTTGTTTACATCCTCACGTCTGACTTGTAGAACATAATTTGAATAACTCAATTATGTAGTCAATGTAAATTTGTACTTTTATGTGGAAGAGAGAGGGAGTTGGTCTTCTCTTTTTCTTCTATAGTAGAATTAGTTAGTATTGTTATTTTGTTATATTCTCCTTTTAATTTTGTCTTGATTATACTTCATTTGAGTTAAGATTCTATTAAAAATATTTTTTTTATTTTCTACAAAAATAGGAATAAGATTTGTTTACATCCTCACGTCTGACTTGTAGAACTAAATTGGATATGTTGTCATTGAAAAACTTAAATCTGTAGATATAAAAGGTGAATATTTGTTTCGAAATGTGATGATTCTAGACGAAGAATCTAATGAATTGAAGTAGTTGTCTCCTAAGAAAATTATGCACAAGTAAGGACAAAAAATGGAAAAATAAAAAGGAAGAATAAATATAGTCCAATAATTTTATAATAATGTAAGTTGTCTGAATATTTTTTAATTGTTATTAAGGGTGTGCAAAGATTAGTTTAATCGATAAATCAAATAAAAAAATACAATTGGTCTATCAAAATGGTTTAACACTTTTTAAACGATTTTGTAAAAAAATAAAATTTGGTGTTTGATTTTATGATTTTAGTTAATGATTAAACCGATAATTCAATAGGATAATATTAAAATTACTATTTTATTCATAATTATAAAACAGTGGTTTCAACATTTTACCAACTCTATTTCTTTAAAAATTTCAGTATTACTTTCGGTTGTAGGCAACACTAACTAGGTTCTTTGCCTCTCTATTGCGACTACCTAATTCTCACTACACCAAAAATGATTTTTAGCGACAATTAATTAACAATAATAGTTTAATTGCTGTTAAATATGTTCTTTTAGAAGCAATTAGCATTCTTTGTAAATGTTGTTAAAATCTGTAGTGACATTGGATCAAATGTCAATTAACTAATGTTGGTAAAGACTTTAGCACTCTTTGTTAATGTGCATATATTTATGGCCACTAAAAGTTGTTTTTGTTATAGTGTCTTTCTTATAGTCACAAAATAGTATTACTTTCTCTCTTCTTAACTTTAGATTTAATTGTGACAAAGCTAAATAGTTAATATTGTTTTCACAATTTATTATAAGAGTCTTTAGAAGGAATTCGAACAATTCTACTTCAATAAAAGTGATCAATGTTAAAATTTATAATGCACTTCTATTCTTGTTATTTATTCTATTTTTATGAACATCGTGTATATGATTTATATGAGCATTATCCAAAACTGAACCATTAAGAACGAAAACTCGAGTAACTGACAAATGATTAAAAAAATATCTCATATAATGAAGTATTGTTTTTGAAGATGACTATATTAAAAGTTTATTATATCAAGTTACTGAATTCCCATAAAACCGTCTATTTTTTTAATAGGAGTGATATAAAGGGGAAAGGTGAAAAGGCATACCTTGCTTTGTAGAATCTCTAAAGATGTCATGGATCATGGAAGTGACTTCATCTTCTCTAATTGGTCTAAGAGCTTCAATTCTCTTTGAAGTAAAAAGTTCAAGATTACATAATTTTCTCACTTTCACATAATGATGTCCATAATCAGCCCAAATCAAATCACTCCCATTTCTACTCACATTTGCCAATGGTTTAGTCCTAAACCTATCAGCCAAATTTTGGTCATTATCTTTCAATACTTCCTTAGCAAGTGTTGCATTATTTATCACAACATTTAGTTGTGAACCTAGATAGAATGAGAAAATAGGGCCATATATTTCCGACCACGCAGCGAAGCATCGGAACCTTATCGGCTCTATGTCGTAGAGGTTTCCGATGATAGGCCACGGCCGTGGACCGGGCGGTAGCTTGGCTTTCAACCGGCGGTAGAAATTGTAAGCAATATATATAAGAAATAGTGTTAAGGCTGGAAGTGCTAAAGAAAAAGCCATTTTGGAAATGTGTAGTGTGTAATGTGTTTGTGGAAGATAAGGAAACCAATGGTCCCTTTTAATAGGGAAATTTTTAGATCCGTATAAAAGTTATTATCTCAGCAATAATGTCTAGACATTAATTTTCTTATACCTATTAAGGTATGAAATCAAACTCTTACGATCTTACCAATAAGATGAAAGAAAATTTAGATAGTTAATTAATTGGACTACTAAGATTCCTTTGCTATACGATAGTCTAATACTGTGTAAATGTTTTTAAAAATAAATGGGAGTAGGTAATTTTTTTTATCCATATTAGCATTTTGTATAGAAGTTATTTATCTCAACAATAGTGTACTGACATTAATCCTCCAATACCAAATCATGTACGGTGTACCTAACAAGTGAAAGGTTAGGTAGTCAATCAACTGAGCTATTAAGATTTCTTCGATATACTTTATTTTTTAAAGAAAAAATGGGATTAAGAAAAGGGGAAATAAAAAGGGAGATTACAATATGGAGAATCGAACCGTCTCACCAAAGTAAAAGTTTAGATAATTAATCAACTAGACTACTAACTAGAGTAGCTAATAATTTTCCTTCAAGACTTTTACAAATAAATCATTATTATCTAAATAATAGCTTAAAAGGGAACATGTGTGTAAATCATCCATTTTAATACCATTGGTTTATGTTCTAGAAATGAAAAAATGATAATTATATTCATGTTTTGATATATATATTTTTTTAATAAATTACAACTTGGTGGTATATTTTATTACTGACCATATTTATTCATTTTTCAACTTTGATGCGTGTTAGGTGGATCAATTTGTTGGATGATTTGTTAGATCACTAATGATGATGATCCCACTTTCCTATGGCGGTATAATTGAATTATTGCTTCCTAGTAATTAAATATTTTAATATTGAATGGAATCATTTTTTTCTTCTCATTCCTTTCAAAGAAGTTTTTGTTGTTGCACTAAATTACTTACGTGTGTAAATTTACGATTCAAAAACATTTTTTTAGCTTATAACACTTAGTAATCGGATAACATTTAATCTAACAAGTGTTTTTCCACCTAAATTTGATAGACTTCTATAAATAAATTATTGTGGGTGAATATATACAATATGTGCAAGTAAAAAATACTTTGAAGTGAATATTTATCCGAACAAATAAGAAGTCTATTTTCTTTGGCATTTAGGTTGTAACATTTATCAGTCAGATAATATTTCATCCAACAAATGCTTTTCCACCCAAATCAGATAGAATTCTATAACTAAATTACTTACGGATGTATGCATGCGAGAGTCAAGAACATTTTGAAGTGTATATTCAACCAAACAAATAAAAAATTGAATATTCTTTAGCATTTAGATTATAACACTTAGCAAAGTAATCAAATAATATTTATTTCAACAAGTGCTCTTCCATCCAAATTAGATAGACTCCTATCACTAAATTTACCAACCAAACCTAAATTTTTTTCTTTATTATGCTTATCCAATATCAAAACAAATAACTCATTTATTAAATTTGAAATGTTTGAGTCCAATTAAAAAAAGAGTAAAATATGCACTAACTATTTATAACTTGCGAGAAATTTTATTAACTCAATGGATTCTATCTTTTTAATAAGAGTTGAATTTCCCATCTTATGAAAAAATAAACTAAAAAAAGAGAGATTATTTATAGGCTGTCACAAACTAAGTTGCACCCATTTCTAAGTTGACATTTGACAATTAAATTCTATGCCAAATGATTGAGTATCCAATTAATTAATGATCTTAGGTTTGGTGGATGAAATCTTCTTTTTATTTTTTTTATATGTTTTATAAATAAAATCATGGTATGTCAAGATTCTGTGCCTTTAATTTCTTTCTGATCGTGCGAGGCAGCAGGGATGGAGACTTATATGAGGGGTTCATCCGAATCCCTCGGCGAAAAAATAGGTTAAAATTATTTTTTAAGTACGTATAATAGATGTCGAACCCCCTTTCACTAGTTCGTGTGTTTACTTCTCAGATTTTGAACACCCTTATTAAAATTTCTGACTCCACCATTGCGAGGCAGTTGTCTGCATAAATCTTTCGTAGTGGAATATATGGTTTGATAATTGCTATTTCACATTGTTTCGAGAGTCGTGATGATATTATTGAGAAATGTTTTTTGTCGAAATATTTTTTTACCTTTCACTCTTGTTAATTAGCAATAATATTTATGTGGACTTTCAAAATTTTGTTTCATGTAACTTGACAAGAAAATTTTGAGTCGTAGGTACAAAATCATTTACATAAAAGACTTATTGCTTCTGCAATTTGAAATCTTTTTGGTGTTTACTAGTGATGATATATGTTGCTTCTAATTGCACACAAGTGTATGCGGTCGCACAAATAATATAGTGGCTCTTAAAAGAATCGGATTATCGAACCCAAATGATTTGTTAATTAATTATTCTTACTAAATTATATTAATTCTAATTATTTATTTAAGGGGAGGATTTCAAAAGATTAATATATGAACTAAACTAAAAATAAAGATAAAATAACTAAAAAGCAATTAACTAAGAAAAGATAGATGTTTACACAATTAATGAATGAATCAATCTAGGATTATAATTTAACTAACAATCATGTTTAGCATCAATTTCATCAACTTATTTGATTATCTAGTTATTGATTCACAGGGTTAAATGTATGATCATGGTCTCCCGACCTCTAATTGCCTACGATAAATAATATCCTAACTACATCGTTGAGCGGGGATAGGATGGATTAAGTACCGAGCATTAAGATTTCTTCCTGTATAGTGACCAAGCATGGTCTCTAGGTATATCCCTATCCTAAATACAAACTAACCCTAGTTATTAAGAGAAAATCATGCTCCTTATATTCCACGTTCTATCCTCTTATTTCTCTTCTGAGTTCAATTCGGACAATATGTTTACTTCAATGGTGGTCATTCAAGCATCAAAATAGTAATCACAAGAATATAAGAACAACTAATATGATAAACAAATCATGCCGAATCAAAATCACTAAACAATCATATTGTAAGTAAATATAATCCAAGAACGAGAAGTTTAACTTCACATAGACATAGAGCAATTATAACAAATCATTCAAATAAAAGATGTAAAATAAATAAAAGAGAAGAAAAAAAGAAATTCTAAATCAAAAGTTATTTTCACATTGTATCCTCATCCCCTAATAGTTATTCTTATGAATTATTTATAGATGTAAGAAACCCTGAATAAAATAATTGAGTCCAAAGCCAATTAGAAATCCAAAACCAAACGGAATTGAATTCCCAGTTGTACGCTTGAAACTGTCCAACCGCCTCAACTTTGCGCCTTTAATCAATTGGCTACTGCCTTCACACATTTCCACGTGGAATTTTCCAATTCCAATTCTACTTCAACCAACATATATATATATATATATATTATTTTATAAAGTTTAATTCGATGTTTGTTTGATTTCCTTCTTCAACCTTTCACCTTTAATTCGTTTTAACTCCAAGCTTTTTCATCTTTCCACCAATTTAATCCTACAAATAAAATATACTATTTAATACAATTCATAAAATTCAGGCTCAAAAAGGACAAATATAAATAATAAATAATAAAGCAAATAATGATTAAAAATATATATTTTGGCCTCACATCAATAGACAATCAAATTACACACTCTAAAATGAGGATTTTTATGCGTGTGCTAGCAATTATGCGAGAAGACAGGATCGGATGTATATGAATTCGACAAAACTCGATAGTCTTTGTCTAGATCTTATATTTGTCACTTTGTATTAGTAAAATATAAAAAATCTATATAGAAATTAAATTTAGAATATAATTAATTACTAACATTTAAGGTCATTGACTTATAATTCAGAAAATCCTAGATTCGCTTTTATGTAAAAGAGATCGGTATAACGCTCCAAACCTGAGTGAGGTGGAGCATGCTCCATATGAACTTTATATATATATATATATATATATATATATATATATATATATATATATATATATATAAGATAATTAATTACATTATCACAAAAAATATAATTATTTTACATGTTTTGGTTTCTGTTCTACTTTTTAAAAAATAAGGGAGAATTATAATATGGGGAATCTAACCCTTAATTAAAAAAACAAATGGCAAGAAGTGGGATTCAATATGATGTTTGCCAATAATGCTAAGAACCATTTCACATTGTTGTTGGGAAGCCGAAACACTTATTTTGAGAAAAAAAATATTTTTATTGAAAAATTAAGTGTTTGGCAATCAGTAAAAGTGTTTTTAAATGGAAGCAAAAACATCTTTTTTTTTGGGAAGAAATAAAAATTTCTGCTTTTTAAATAAAAGCAAAGCAAAAATAAAAAATTATTTTTTTCAAGACTAATATATCATTTTCATATTTACATATGTACCAATATATTTCTTATTAATCAATCAGCATATTTCATAAGTTTGATTAAATTTTTATTTAAGAATTTTATTTTAATAAGTTTTATAATTTATTTTTTGTTTATATATTATTATTTTATATATTATTTTACGTATTATTCTATCAACTGTTTTTGATAGATATATTTCAAATTGTAATATTAATGTGCTGGGCACATCAAAAAAACAAATCATAAATCTGTAATTTTTATTGAAAAATTGGTGTTTACTAGTGATGATATATGTTGCTTCCAATTGCACACACAAGTGTACTCGGTCGCACAAATAATATAGTGGCTCTTAAAAGAATCGGATTATCGAACCCAAAAGGACTTGTCAATTAATTATTCTTACTAAATTATTTTAATTCTAATTATTTAGTTAAGGGGAGGATTTCAAAAAGATTAATATATGAACTAAACTAAAAATAAAGATAAAATAACTAAAAAGCAAATTAACTAAGAAAAGATAGATGTTTACACAATCAATGAATGAATCGATCTAGGATTATAATTTAACTAACAATCATGTTTAGCATCAATTTCATCAACATATTTGATTAT